GTTGCCCACCTTTTCTATAATAAATTTTTCTGATATATTTTTTTTGGTGCAATAAAGAATATATTATATGTCAACTTATGTCTCAGGGTGACGAGCGCAGTGGCAGTGCTTCTCAGATCTTTGTGATTTAAAGCTCTGAGCAGCACTGCAATGTTTCGGACAGGCGTGTTGCTTACTACCAGGCGCACGACTTTTTCATCCCGTTACTTGATATTATAAAAAAAAATCAAAAATCCGCAACAATGTTTATGTCATTGACATTTCATCCGTCCATATGAAGCACTTCCTCCTTCCTGATAATTACGATAAAGGAATGGAACATACGGCTGTGGCCAAGCGTGTGCTTACTTTACACTTCAAAAAAATAGTAGTGCTGTCAGTTAATTTGCAGGACATATAAAAATGGATAATTAACCAACGAACTGAACAATGTATCCAAGTATTGCATGTCAAGTTACAATAGGAAGTCTATAAGTAATGTCGTAATATCTTTGAAAGGGAAAACGGTATATACTAAAGTGGTATTGCATAGATTTGATACGAGATAAAAAACAACAATGCGTATGTACAATTGTACATCGATGGTATACAACAGGCCATCGGTATGAAGAGGCGCTGCGCGTTGTTGCTACACGCGTGGTCAGTGGGCCGTCGCAGGCGCAAGAACTCGCGGCCAGTCTAGGCGAGAACTCTCTTACGACCGTGTGTGTGTAACTTCCTCTTTCTAACTGCATGGTATGCGCATATCGATTTCAATATACAGGCATTAACGCGAATAATTTTTTTGTTCCTATTAGCTGCTTATTAGTTATTAATTTTAGTAATGCGGATTTCAATTAGCGAGTGTCCAATTATGAAAACTTAACGCATACTGATAGCTAGTTCCGATGGATTTGTAGTGCAAGTGGTCGCTATTGTTTATTTTGTTTATACGTTGGCTCCTGACGAGTTTGTGTGTGAGTGTTAATTTATTTATACAATTCATATATTTTTTAAATGAATTAAATTTATTTGTTTACTGTTTTCATTAAATCCATTGAGTGTATATCTGGAAAACTGAGTTAACGTAATAATAAATAAGTGAACTAAAAAAGAATGATTGAAAAATAAATAAAAAATATTTATTTCACCAGAAAACGTAGAATTCACAACAATTGTAAAATAATCTAAACTACCATTAAGTAATGTGAACAAAAAGGTTAGAGACTCAGCATTGCTGATTTTCAGGTTTCACCTATAGCTGTTCGCTTGCTGCACCAAGCCAATGTGCGGGGTGTTCACCAACTTTACCTACCTTAAGTAATAATGTTAAAGTTTAAGCTGTGCGTGTAAAATTCCTTTTTTTTATTTAAACTTAGTTAGCGTATCGTCTAGCACGGTCTGCTGGGAGACGTTGGTTCGGATCCATCCGGATCGTTTAATAATAATCGGCTTAATAATTATAACAAACTAGTGAAGTAATTTAAAAAAAAATGGAATATAATTGTGGTAAAACATCCTGATATACAATAAAAACTGAACTAAAATTTAAAGTAGATTTTTCTGATTGTTACACATAGAGAAGGAAATTATTTTTTGGGATCCAAATCGCGTAATTTTGTTTAGCTACAAACAAATATAGTATAGTTTCATTTCCTAAAATTGAATTTCTTTTTTGCTGCTAAAGATTTTATTTGGCGACCAGTCATATTTGAACGTAATCTAATTAGTTTTAATTCTTCTTCAAGTGCCTCTCCATTATTAAAGGTCATTTTTAAGTCAGATTTCTATATCTTTCTTTCTCCAGAACTAGCCTGAACAGTTGTTATATGGCCGGATATTACGAAGTCAAGATATTTTCCTTCTTCCTAGCCAACCTTAGATGATATCTGTCATGTCGCAGTACATGACCAAAATACGCAATCTTTCGCGTTTGATAGTGCGTACCAACTCCACCGTCTTCACCATACGATTAAGGACATCGACATTACATAGATTTAATTACACATTGTAGAAAAACGCGAACATAATTTCGATATTAATAATATTAGTGCATATTAAAGGCGTTGACCGACGCTGACTAATCTAGGTCAGAAATTGTTGTTTCAGATTTCTATATCGCTTCATACTCTATCGGATCTATATATTTATTTAAACACAATATTAACAACGTGATGTTAGAAACGAATAAAAATCTTGCAACCATTTTAATTAATGAACTTTCCAAGCATTCAAAATAATAAAAGAAACATTTAAAGAACTTTTAATTTCTTTCGTCATGGTTCGCGGTCTTGTGGAACAAAGATTAACATATGGGCATGCTGCGGCAACCGGCCACGAAACCACGAAACCCTATTGTGTTAAATAAATCTTATGCAATTATGTTACCACTTTTTTTAGCTCTGTGTTGGAATACACCTAGTTAAAATCTCAGTACGTAGTACTACAAAAACCGACCTTAAAAGTCATTCATCACCTTAGTTTGCCATCTTAGAGATGGATCGTTTTCTTCAAATTTAAATGGGACCACTTGTGAGGTACCCGTGAAAGGGTTGTAAACCGCCAACACAGTACAATAATAATAGGTTACTCGATCCAAGAAATTATTGTATAAGTTAAGGCGAAAGATTAAAGAAAGGCTGTAACAAAAAAGGTACATAAAACAGGTACAATATTAATAACACTCCCTACATAAATACTAAAAAATCGTGAGATAAACTTACTCCGAAAGGGCCGAATTACACAAATATTACTAGGTTTAAATGGTATTAAAATTGGTGCATGATTTAAAAAGGGAACTGATAAAAGGATCAAAATTAGACGAGGAACTCTCGCTTCAAGGATTACGCAGAGAGTGACGACGGAACGAAACAAAGTGAGAATGACGAGGTAACGGAATTAGAGAACGATTCAAAATTTGAAAATAAGTGGCCAGGAACCAAAGAAAAGGTGATAAAAAGGTGGGATGACGATGGAGGAGGTCGAGGATAAATGTAGATTTATAAATAAATAGTTAGTAGAACTATCTATATTTAATAGCAGTAGAGCTTTTTTGAAAGTTTTCGTTCAAGGAAATAACAACTTACGTATTTCTTCTACCAAGGAGTATTGCTCACATTACTGCGTTCTGGTTTTGAAGGGTAAGAGTGCTGAAGAAATTGCAGGCTTGTCAACTTGTGTCTCAGGCTGACGGGTGCTGGGGCAGTGTCCCTTATATCTTTGTGATTTAAATTCTGAGCGGCACTGCAACTGTTATTGGCAGGCGTGTCGCTTACCACCAGGCGCACGACTTGTTCGTCCCATCACTCGGTAGCATAAAAAAAACTAATAAAGATTTTATTTCTTTTTGTTTTGAATAGCATTTTCTTTGATGTTTTAGTCATTACCAAAAAAAGTGGAATTAATTAACTGTTTTCATGTAATAATTTTCATGTATTTTGAAATCAGTTGAATAGTTTAATCATTGTGAGGGAACAAGTAAGTTTTTTTTTTCATAATATCGAAACAGTCTTTTTCTGAACCGCTACTGATTGATAAGACTAATCATATATTTTTTTTATAATATCAATTGACGGGACGAACAAGTGCGCCTGATGGTAAGTTACACGTTACAGTTACAATGTTTTGGACAGACAGTTGCAGTGCCACTCAGAGCTTCAAATCGCAAAGATCTGAGGGGCACTGCCACTGCACCCGTCACCCAGAGACATAAGTTGACAAGTCCCATGTGCCTGTAATTTCACCAGCACCCTTAACCTTCAAAACCGGAACACAGTAATGCTAACATTACTGCTTGGCGGCAGAAATAGGTAGCAGTACTTCGCTGGACGAACTCTTTCACAAGGAGCTCTACTGCTTACAAGTATAGATATGTACGTACGCTGGTAAAATCATAAGCCTTCTTTTCACCGTAGTCAAGTGAAAATACTTGATTTGATTTATTTATGTAATACTTTATACATTCTTGGTTTCCGACAAAACCACTTTTAGCACGCAAGAACTGTCGAAGTTATGTGTAATATTACACAAATATGGATAATTTTATTCATATAATTTAATCCTAGTTTTACTGTCTAGTATTTAAGCTTTTATTGTGTCTTACCTGTATATTTCAACTTATTGTCTAATAAAAACTTAATATGAACGCCTGCCGAACATTAAATTGCAATACAGAACGTTTGAAAATTCGAAGAAGTGAAAAATACTTTCTTTGGAACTAAAAAAAAAACAGAATTTTCAAATCAGTTTTGTATATGGAACATAGCTTTTGTTATGTTTCAGTGCTATGTCAGAATCTAGCTTATTTTTTTTGCTTTCCATATGCGCATATTATATTTTCTATACAGGGTGTAGTTAATCGATAAGTGTGCCGAGGGAATTATTCCATTAATATAAGAGATATTAAAAAACTTTAAACTGATACCGAAAATGTTCATCGTGTGTGCGTCATTCTATGGGAAGAAAAAATTCGGGACAGCAGAAGCTGGTAAAATTTTGTTATCTGTGAACTTGTTACCTAGTAGATCAATGAAAGCCTCTTTACGAATGTCATATTAAATGTACGGGAGCATTTAATATTAAAATTTGGATATTTCTAGTTTTATTTAAAAAAAGTTATTGATGTCGATTTACTCATAAGGTAACTTGCTTTCGATATCAGATTAAAGCTTTTTGATATCTCTTATATTTATGGAATGGTCGCCTGGGCACAGTTACCGCTTATACCCTGTATAACCTGCTGAGAAAATCTTATAAGTAAAAAAATTAAAAAGAAAAAACTATTTTCCGTCTTTGATCTCCATGTGATAATTTGATGATAGTCAGAAACGAACAAAACAAGGCTTGTTCTAGAATGCACGCACCTAAGAGTATATTTCTTTTGAAGCAATGTTTCGTTGCTTCACCGTATACTAAGTGGGACGCCCACCTTATGCAAATTAATACAATCACGCATAAATCACGCTTCGTATCACGTTTTTTATAGAAGTAAATATAGTTGCGTGTTGATTTTTTATTTCCAGGCTGGAAGAGCTGCAAGCGAGCGATAACGAACTTCGGTCTTTGGACTGCGTGCTCAGGCTTCCAAGACTGAGGACTTTACTTGCTGCTAGAAATCTTATTATTGGGTTTATGGTATGTTGGGTTTACGTCTACATTGTGTTGCTATTTTTTTTTTAAGCTCGGAAAATGAGGCATCGTCATTATACATGTCCGTCGAGTTGGTCATGCTCTATTAAACATTTGTTTTTTTTAATGATCTTGATTTTGAAATAGTTTATATACATATTTTTTATTTTCTTTGGTTAATCAACAATTGTTATACTTACCAATAAAAAATTTGAAACGTACATGCAAAATCTTAAAACCTATCTATCCATATAATCTATCAATAGATATGCACAGTAAATTATTGCAGAGTAAAAATAACTTACAAAAAGAAAAGTGTAGAAGAAAAATAACCATTTAAGTCACTTACAAAAACAAATAGTTAATTAAAACTGAGCAAAAGTATAAAAAATATCATATTAAACCTATAAGTATACTTTTTAGAATTTTCTTTATTGCACACCTGTACATTAAACCACAAAATAGATATAAATAGATTGCAATTCCTTTTGACTATTGCAATTAAAACTAAGAACTGAAAACTTTAAAAAAAACAACTACTTCCTTGCATACGTTTTGTAGCAGCGGATATGATTTCATTAATTAGCTAGATACAATTAAAACTGATTAGTTATAAGAAATATAATTGTAGCTATTAGAAATCATAAAGTATACTTATAATAACTCTATCATTACTAACGTTGCAGACTAAAGATAAGCAAGAACATACACAAATGGGTCCAGAACACGAGATTAAATCAGAATATCGGGCACCGCTAACAAGTGTCGACCTAAGGCATAACAAGTTAAAAGGCAGCATCATTCTTGGAAACTATGAGGTCTGTATTATTAGATTCATTGAACTTATGCAAAATAATACTCCGAAATGTACAGATACGTAAAATATTGCAAACTATAAACAGCTAGCATGATGCCACAAATCCACAATAGGGAAGGATTTAGAACGAAAGTGGGAGGAAAGGAAGCTAAAAAAGATTCGTTGTAGGCGAGACACGAAACTTTTTAACGAATACATACAGCAACCTTAAACCATAGGTATAATCGTTATTGTAAAACTCTTTTAAAAGAACATTAAAACATTAATCCAGCGTTAATTTGAGTCTCATTATACATAAATGTTTTTTCAGCATTTGGTATCTCTGGACATATCTCACAACTCCGTCGATGTGCTGGTGGTGTCGGCTCTTCGTGGGCTACGGGAATTATACGCGTCACACAACACACTCCAACACCTCTCATTACACGGCGCGTCACTTCGCACCATACACGCACCGCACAATCGTAAGTGACCACGCACTTTTATGATTAGTTCTCTATCTAATAAAAAATTCAAGGCCAAAATGAAACGGTTGTTCTATAATTTCAGAATTGGAAAGCCTGACCACATCAGTACCACCAATCAATCTCGTAGAAATCAACGTATCTCACAATAAATTGACATCCCTACCGCAATGGCTCAGCGGATGCTCAGACCTTACAACACTACATGCAAGTAACAACCAGTTAACATCGCTACCAGAACATCTATTTTGCAGCGAGCTCTCTAGCCTCAGCAGTTTACATCTAGCGCACAACAAAATATCGAATATTCCCTCAATGCCAAGATTACGAGGACCTTTAAAGGAACTTATACTTCATGATAATTGTATACAGTCTTTACCTGAAAACTTCTTCTCGGTGTGTGATAGACTCAGCGTCCTGAACCTGTCTAACAATAGACTTAGCCGATTACCACCTGCCCGAGGACCCTCTTCACATTGCCTGGAACGACTGTACCTAACAGCAAATTGCCTAAACGATGATGTTGCAGATATTATCACTGCATTCAGAGGATTGAAGATACTATACTTGGCGTACAATTGCTTAACTACTTTGCCCGATAGCTGTATAAATTTTTGGCCCGATATAGAAGAATTAGTGATATCAGGGAATTCTTTTACAAAACTTCCAGAAAATTTACCACAACTGAATAATATTCGAATAGTGAGAGCTCATTCGAACAAATTACGCTCAGTTCCAATGTTTGCGTGTAGTCATTCTATAAAAATTCTAGATTTCGCTCACAACGAACTAGATAGCATAGATCTCAGACTGCTTGCCCCCAAACAACTTAAGTTTCTCGATATATCATGCAATCAGAAATTACAAGTAGACACCACACAATTTAGTGCCTATAGATGTCAACGACCTTTAAGTCTCGTTGATGTCACTGGAAGAACTTCGTTGCCGTGGTCTCAGAAGAGTGGATACCACGAAGAATTAAGTGGCTCCGCTCCTTGGTGTACGGGATTTTCGGAATGTCCCAACAAATCGTTACAACTTTGTTGTGCCCAAATTCGGCTCCCGTCTTTTTGCAATAAAGAGGGTCTGTTCGCTATAATCGATGGTGAAACAGACAACGAAGTACCAAAGATTTTACAAACCACATTACCTGGTTTGCTTCTTGAAGAAAAGTCCATAAAAGAAACTGTAAACGAATATATGAAATATGTAGTACTTTCCGCTCATAGAGAGCTAAAAGAAAAAGGCCAAAGAAAAGGTGCTTGTTTAATCATGTGTCATTTAACGCCTTTGAACCCACCAGAAAATGGGTTTGGACACACTTCTAGAAGATACAATATGCGGCTCGCCAATGTGGGTGACACAAGGGCCGTTTTGAGTAGACGAAGTGGTCCTTTGAGTTTAGGTATAGAAAATAATAAGCGGTTAGGTTATTCTAGCCGGTACCCCAGCACAGTGCCTGATCCTGATGTTATACAAACGGTAATAAAAGAAGACGATGAGTTTTTAATATTAGGCAATGGAAAGTTTTGGAACGCTGTCAGCGTTGAAACTGCAGTGGCAGAAGTAAGAGCTGAACGTAACCCAGTTTTGGCAGCAAAAAGGTTACAAGATTTGGCTCAGAGCTATGGGGTGGAGGATTGCATATCAGTTATGATTATTCGTTTCGATACTGCAGGACGAGCAGATGTAGATTTGTTGATGCGGGAGTTAAGACAGACGATAAATAATAATAAGTCTGTGTGCAGATCAGATTGCTGTTGCTCACGGTTAGAGGCTTGTTGTCATTCTGCAACCCCACCTAAAGCCTGCAGCGATCGCTCATCTCCCAGTGGACAAAGTGACAGGCCTTCGAGCGAAGCAGTCAGTCACCAACATTATGCCAGCGTGAGATCATCGCAAACCAGGGCATCTGAACGACGAAGTTGTCGTGGCGGTGTTGCTCGAGCAATTCGCGTCCGCGTTGAAGAAGATAAAGAAGACGATCACAGAAACGAAGAAGTGCCCAACTCTGAAGAACAATTTAAATGTTGGGAGTACATGCTCGAACAAAATACACAGATGCTGTTTGACAAAGAATTAGATAACCTGTCCAAAGGGATAAAATCGAATGTCAGTAGCCTTCGAAATGTTAAAGGATTATCAGGAAGTAGCCCTCAACTTCATCTGACTGGTAAATCCACGAAGAATGTGCCTTTTCTGTCAAAACATTTTGGGAGTGCCAGATCATTTGGCACAGCTCTGAAGCCTGACTTTCGTTTTGGATCTGGAAGGTTACCGAATGGTGGACCAAACGCTGCATATTTTGGATCACTGCAACGCCTAATGCCGTACCACCTGGAATACGATTTTGCAGTGATACAGGAAAAGTCCGTTCCTTCGCAAGATTCATTGGACCTCGAAGGACGCATGCAACAGTACTGGGGAGTGGCCACAACAGAATTGTAAATAGCACCTCGTTAGTAGCGACCTTGTAAATAAAACTTCAATTTAATTAGCATAGAATATTATCATTATTTATATACCATTCATTTGTCGACTAGATCTTTTTGCACAAAGTAAATATCATATCACTATATAGACTTACCTAACATGAGCTATTTTAATTATACAAACTATTATACATTCATTATTTATGTACAATATTGTGACGTTGACTGTAAAATGTATTATCACGCTGAAATTAATAAAATGATGGTAATGTATTAAATAAATAATTCTAAAACTTATAGTTTTTTTTTTAATACAAACAAACATTTATAGGGACCTACACTATTAAATATCCGTTAAACTATTACATCAATATTACTAACTAATAATTTATTTACAATGCATGTTATCTTGCTACGTTTAAGGCGTTTAAAACTGTTCAATTTGTGCTTTCCTTCTGTCCACTCCACTTATTAATTGTCATGATGGCCCTCGTGGACGATCGCTATTAGACATACCTTAAAATATTATGCTTACGATAATAAGAGATTGTCACGGTGGTTTTTGTTTCTGTATATTAGTTACTTAGTGTAATATCATCGATCACAGCTCCCGTTTAACTACGAGCTCAAGTGGTTGCGGTGCCAGGGCTTGGGGGTAGGGAGCGGAGAGCGGCGGGGGCGCGGGCTGCGCATGCGCCGGCGGCGGCCGCCGCTAGGGAAAACCCCGGGGGGAGTAATGCTCGCCCAGCCAGGAGTCAGGCGACGGGGGAAAGTCAGGGTAACCTGCCGCCGCGGGAGACGAAGAGCTACTGAGATCTGATGCACCACCTGCACCGGCGCCTATACCTGCACCGCTCATGGCTTGACCTGGAATGCAAAAGTCGTTCTTTGTTAATATAGACATTGCCAATAGAATTATAGAATGTACGGTAGTCATTTCTGGACGCAATGAAATTATCACGTTACTTACCGATATTAGTGTAAACAAGGTGGTCGGGTGGGTAGTGATAGTGAGGATGCGGGGGCGAGTGCGTGCGCAAATAAGGAGGAGTGGCAGCATATCTGGCACCTCCCGCGGCGCCTGCGCCACCGCCGCCAGCTGGCGAGCCCTCTTCACCGCCGAGCGCCACTGTGCTGTAGCTGTCGTTGCTTAACTCTACAACAAAATATGAATGTTCAACATACAATCATCTTTCCGTAGATAGTACGAAATACATGTAAGTCACCATAATATCTAAAGCAGTTACTGAGACAATCCTGTTCAAACAACAACAGCTGAGTAAAAGCACAAAGGGCCGAAGATACTGCACAGGGTAATAACTATTGGAGATAACTGGGAATAACATTTTGTATCCATTTCCCTGTTGCCCCATTTTGGAAGTAATTAAATATAGTGTACCGTGATGGCTGAAGGAGTCAAGGTCAATTTTGAGTTCGTCCTTGTCAAGCAGCCGATCGTGGCGCGGGGATCCACTGCCGCCGCTCTTCATCGATCGGAAATACTGCGACCAACGCGTACGACCCGCATCTTTCTTCAGTCGCTTCTCTTTCGCTCGCCTGTTGTTGAAATAATCAAATATTTATTAGGGCATCAGATAAATAGATGGAGATAAACGTATAAATAGATCGAGATAAATAGTATTATCATTCGTTTAAAGTGAGTGAGTATCAGTAGAGCTCCTTGTGAAAGAGTTCGTCCATAGAGATACTGCCACCTTATTTATTTCTGCCAAGCAGTAATATGAGCATTACTGCGTTCCGATTTTGAAGAGTAAGGGTGCTGGTGAAATTACAGGCACATGGGACTTGTCAACTTATGTCTCAGGGTGACGGGCGCAGTGACAATATCCCACAGATCTTTGCGATTATTATTAAAGCTCTGAGTGGCACTGCATCTGCTATGGACAGGCGTGTCGCTTACCACCTGGCGCACGACTTTTTCGTCCCGGCACGTGGTATCATAAAAAAAGATAAAGAAGTTCAAACGACACGAATCTCAACATAGGAATACTGCTCGTAACTACTTATTAGAAACATGACTACAGTATTGCATGTGTAAATTAAATTAAAAATTTTATTTTTTTGCAAATTATCATATATTATTATATATTAGAGATGCACATTACTATTCGATTTTTATGAAGATCGATTCAAGTGTATACGATCTAGCGATTTTTTGTATCAACTCACTTCAATGCGATTTTGAAACAAATCGATTCGACATCGAATCGAGTCGTCTATTTCGTATTCACAATTTAAACAAAACAGTCTTTATCTGAACCTCTACTGAATGCTAAAGCTAATCATATATTGTTTTTTTATAATATCAATTGACGGGACAAACAAGTCGTGCGCCTGATGGTAAGCTACACGCCTGTCCATAATATACATCTATATATATATATATCTCTACATATCGTAATAACATCATCACCAGCAACACACACTGCTGTCTCCTCAAAACCCTCTCCATAGTCCGCTATGCTTGCGCCATGCGAGTTGGAAACTTCGTACATATCCGAAAAGTTTCGTGGACATTCTGCGAGTGGACGTCTTATGTTTCGTTACGAATTTTTCCATTATATTTATATAACTAAATTAAACACAAGATACGAACTGAAGTCGTATATCTAATCTATTAGAAATTGTCTTCCTGCATGCACAATACATGTAGTATTAGAGATATAGCACAATTCATAAGTATCTATAACTAATTATAAATATGATTTTAAGTCGTACTCATTCATTCTTTATATTCTTATCGTTTTGCTTGCACGATAAACTTCTAAAGTCAATAATTTACGAAGCACTATACAAAACAATCGACCGGTGCTAACGTTATATCAAAACGCCGCGGTGATGCAGCATGTTAATATATAATACATAATGTTAATATATAAATCATTGACAATATAGATAGATTATGATATACTACTATACAATAATCACAAGCGTGACAATTGAGAGGTGCTCTTATAAATAACATGCTGAGTTGATTACTCAGCCCTAATACCACTAAAATTATTAGTTTACTACGCTCCGATAGCTTTCGATTTGAGCAAATAATCGTATGTACAATATAAACAAAACACCCTATCCTAGCGTGTATTTTGCGTGCGTTGTTATTAGTACACCAGCGGGAGGCCGCGGAGGGCCGGAGGCCTTTCAACAAAGAGGTTGATTAATTAAAGTGCCTCCGCCCAGTCCGCCGGGAGTCAGGCCCCTGCCTTGGATTATTCGACTCCCCAAATTGCCTTCTTTACAAAATACGAGCTTTGACCTGCAAGTTGCGACCCGCGGAAAATTAAAAGTTGCATAGTGTTTTTTTAGGAACGAATATGATTTTTTTTGGTGAAGAATATGAATGTTTAATATTAAGAATATGGAGTCGTAATCGTGTTTTAAACTCAGCACTTCTGTACAAAGCACGCCAATAATATTGTTTATAAAAGTAATTAAACAATAATTGTAGAGCCACCTCGATGGTTGACAGTGTGGGCGTTGGATGAGGAGATCCTGGGTTCGATTCCCGGTAGGATTAATGTGATAAATAAAATTTTCTAAATCAGTTTTGGACTGGATGTTCTGTGTGTGAATACCTTTGCTCTAGTGCTCATATTACAAGGGAAGTCCCTAGTTTGAGACCAGCTCTGGCACATTATTATCACTATAACTCTATAGTCGCCGGCAAGTGCATTAGTTATTCAGGTTTTATATTATATTGTATGTTTGTCGGTCTTTTAGACATATATATTATATGGTTCATACTTGCCTGATTTAAATAAATTAAAAAATGTGTTATTACGATATTCTCTAATCTGTTCGCCAAACAAATATTTCGATTACCTATAGCAAAGGCCTACTATGATCAGTGCAATATAATTGGCTTACTCGTTTGTGATGGCACTGAAAGTTAGCATTTTTATGCCAGCGTTAACAAACATAGAGAAACTGTTATTCAAAGGCTTTGTTTAAATCATAACCGGGCGTGTAAAGCGTAAGTCGGGCGTGATGATAACGCAGCTTTACGAGGCGTGCGCGCGCGCAGGGCGTGACCATCGCCGTGACTGCACGCACTCGCGCGCGACACAACACGGCCACGCCATGCTTACAGATCACCAAATACATGTGTTCCCTATTATTGTTGTGTTGGAAAAACATATATAGGATGTGGTTAAATATTTGACTCCCAAGTTGTCCATTACGTCGCCGACAATCTGTAAGAATTTACTTTTCTTTAAGAAAGTCTGGAGTTTTGATTTCACAAACGACATTTTAAAAGATACTGTACACAAAAAGTTACAACAAAATTTCTGCTGACTTTTGACAAAAATTCGTTTAGGATTTTTCTACCTACGCTAGCTTTATATCGAGTATAGTAGAGCTCCTTGTGAAAGAGTTCGTCCGGGGAAGTACAGCGACCATTACTGCGTTCCGGTTTTAAAAGGTATAAGGGTACTGGTGAAACTACCGATGTTACTGGCACATGGGCTTGTCGTCTTACATCTCAGGATGACGGGCACGGTGATAGTGCACCTCAGATCTATGCGATGTAAAGCTCTGATTGGCACTGCAACTACTATGGCGTGTCGCTTACCACCAGGAGCACGACTTTTTTTTTCATTAAAAAAAATACTTATTCGTCCCGTCGCGTGTTATCATAAAAAACAAATGTAAAAGACAAATTTGTATCAGTACATTTTTACAAAAAGCAACCTTTAAGGTTTTGATTTTAGCTTTTTTCATGAAAATCTGCTTTACAAATGAGTAGAAGAATTTAATCATTGTGAGAAGTTCACGCAAAATATACGCTATGACAGATACGATTATTAACATTTGTTACTTTATAATTATTTAAAATATTACGGACGACTAGAATTGTGTCGTACTGTGTAACGTTAATAGAGACTCGGTGATGCAAAATTCACTTTAATTTCGATTATGTCGCCATTAAGACAAATTGTTTAAGGAACCATGTTTTAGGAACGACTGTTTTAAAATTTATACGTCCTATTTTGAAATTTAGTTTTGGTTTTAATTAAGCCTAAGTTTAAAATTTAAATTGAAACAGGATGTAAATATTTTAAAACTGTCGTGAAAGACTAAAACATGCTCCTTTGAAAAAAATTTCGAAATGGCGCTTTCGCCCATTCTACAAAACACCGACGATATAATAATAATAATCCCTAACCCTGGTCTTGCTCTTAAACTATATAATTACCTGTACTATGAGTACCAGAGCTACGGAATCAAGAACCCTGAACACCCAGATCAGAAACAATTTAGAAAAGTTCATTCTTCAGCCATTGTTCTGCCCACAAACCTTAGAGCTACCAAGATCATCGTACATATGGTATTTTGATATGAATCGTATTATTATTATACACACTGTAGCATGCTGACAAATGAGTTTTAGTAGTGCTATAGTAACTTTTGGTTTTTAATTTTCGTAGTACTAATAGTAGGAATGACTAAGGTCTTAAACTGTGCTTTATTACGGCGGATAAGGGACATTCTACGCTTGAAAGGCAAAATGGGACAAGCAACACTTTTGGGTCATATTGAGTTATATGTACATATATACCGTTGAAATCAGAAACAGCTGATTCCAACGGTATATATAACTCAATATGACCAAAAGTGTCGCTTATCCCATTTTGAATTTCAAGCGTCGACCGCGATTATAACATAATATTATATTCTAATCCGCTATTATAACCCGCTGCGCCCAAGTATTAACTAATTTAATGTAGTAAAAAAATAGAATCTCTTATTTTCTAAACCTAAATGAATATATATATAACATAATATATAAATGTCTTATTTGTTAATGATATTTATTAGCCCAAAAAGAACGACGATTGGTATAGGACATGAAACAATTTTTACGAATCTAAATTGCGTATAAGTATTTGATAACGTTGCAGGTCCTTTACGGGTCCCATGACTCAATCAGCGGTGACCATGGAACCTGTAAAAAGCCCGAAACGTTGGTTTGTTTGACAAACAAATATTCGAAAAAATAGTTTCATTTTGTATGTGTAACAACTCGAAGTCTTTGTTTATTTACTAGGTATTATGAACGGGACATTTTTCAGATGACTGATTTTTTTGTAAAAAAACTGTCCATTCAAAACATTGTTAAGGTCGTACATTATACAACAAGGTCTTTGTATGGTCAGATTCAGCATCAATAGTAAATCATTTTGTTCGTTTTTTATAAAGCCAGTAAATGTGAACTGATTTTGCAACGTGGGGACGTTGACATATTTGCTATATTATATTGGCAACTTTATCTATTATAGTACAACAGAAAGTACAACTAGTACTGACACTGTACACTCGGGACAGTTCTTATGGAAACGGCATAGAGTAGAGTTTAAATCTTAATTGTCTGTTCATAAATCATAGTGTTCGATATTAAAAATCAAATAATTATTTGTATTAAATGCAAAAAAGAAATACGATTAAGTCAGAGTACCATATCGGGATGTAGTATGCTCCACGGAAAAGCATAAGCAAAAGAGCGGCAGGCGACACCACCAAATCCCCCGAACTCGCCTCAAAAGCCGTAATAGTTTCCTGTGCACCACAAAGGCTATGACCATCGGGCTGTCACTAGGTGTGTGCACTGTGGAAACAGAAAAACCCCCCACCACCTGGTTTCATCAGCCCTCAAGAGCAACTATCACCAGGCTGCAACCTGGCGGCCCTTGAATAGACCATAGCCACAATTAGGCAACAGACGCAGGTTCCAGTCCAGTCGGAACGAAGGAATTTTTTTTTGTGTTTGTTCGGCCTTTGTATCAACGATACTAAAAAGACCGTTTGTAATTTTTGGATTATTTTGTCGAAATTAGATGAAAAATCTATACACTAGCTTAATCACATAACGCATTTACCTTCACTTTCCTTGTCTCTTAATTGTCGTAAAAAGAAAATTATAAGAATACGGAAATTTAATGCGATTATATATCACCCTTAATCTATATAACATTGATGTCATTTATCTGTGATGCAATTCAAGGTAGTCGATTTACTGTGATTAGAATAGATCTTTATCGAATTACATTCATGTTTGTCGCACACATGAGGCTATCGTTTTCTTGATAAAGAAAATAAAAGTGCTAAAAAACTTAATGGCTTACTAAAATATTATGTAAAAATGGCATCTGTAATTATTAATCGTACAAAATAATAAAAAAAAAAATTTTTAGAAATATAATGCACATTTCACCTTCATTTTACCATTTGGAAGTGACGACGAGGTCGACGATGGCATGCATATTAATGTGTAACAGAAATATTATGAATCAAAATATTTTAAAGATGGTTTATTGCTTACTTATTGTATGACTTAAATCAATAAACACACAAGAAAATATTTAGGGAAAACGATTTGGTTTGTGATGTTGTTCGAGATTGACACGTTTGGATACATCTCGGATACATACAACGACATTGCCAGCAGTAGCATTTTACTGTTCCTATAAATTTTATAACTATTAAGATAATAATTATCAAAGTATATTTATCAAGTACTATAGTGAAACGATCGTGATAATTATCATGGTTATTATCAATGATAATTATCATTTCGAACCCTGGTTTATGATGATTATGAATTACGTAATTGTAAAAGTTTAGCTTATTATAAGGTTATCTATATTTAGATTTCTTTGTTCTAATGTTTTAGAAACATTCATATCGTCGTGATATTTTCTTTATACGGTTACGCAAAGTTTCACAAAGTTTTCGTTTGTTACTTGTTTAGCTTTACATATCCTGTACAAGAACTTACAACACGAGCATTACAAATATCTTAACTTTTGGCATTTGTTAATTTGGTAATTTTCTGTAACCACCCCTGACTGCGTTTTATGTATTTTTTAATGTTACGTCAAAATTAATTTCCTTCCAATATTTACGATTAGGTAACTCCTCGTGGCAATAAACCTAATCTCTGTTTACGTCTAGTTAAGTCGCTAACCATTTCAAAAGCATTCGTGTTAACTCGCCTTCCTCAAGTGTGTGTGCTGAATCGATTAAGGATATTTACGGTTTATTCATTTTGTATGGTCGAGAAACGGTTGTCGCGCTCTGGAGCGAATCGTAGACTTCTTAGCGAAATAAATGTCAATCAACATTTTATCAAAGTATAACAGTTTAACGTGACGGATCATGCGATAACCACTTTTATAATTTTTTTTTATTTAATTTTTTATGCAGTATGCATATTATAATTTGTTCATGTAAGGCGATTGCGTATGTGTGCTTCAATCATGTACCTGGACGTGGTTACATTCATGTCAAGAGGAATTTTCAAATGAATCACTGGCCATAAATGGCCAAAATTGTTGGCATCTTTTCCAAGGTGAGGCGTTACTTCACCGGAACAGATGCTTCAGCTCTACCAAGCACAACTCCGGTCGTGTATGGAGTACTGCTGCCACGTATGGGATGGTTCTGCTATATACTAACTGGCCATCTTGTATTCAGTTGATAAGAGTACCAAGTTCTTACAGGAGATTCGGTATTAGTAGAGGTGTAACTGCAGAGCCTTGAACATAGTCGTAAAGTTGACAGTTTATCGATACTTTATAGGATATTTCACGAAGATTGTGCTAAGTCCGCACATTCTACCTGAAAAAAAAAAACGGAAGATTCGCACGACGGGTTTCGCTTCCACATTTATATGGCGATCGGCTATCGCCTGGAATTCCTTGCCTACAGACTTGTTCCCTGAACGGTATACACAACTTGGGCTTCCAATGCGAGAGGAAACAGGCATTATTTAGACATGCATGCTTCAACGTCGACCTCATCGTCACGTTGATGAAAGTACAGGCACATGGGACTTGTCAACTTGTGTCTCAGGTTATCGGACACAGTGGCAGTGCCCCTCAGATCATTGTGATTTAAAGCTATGAATGGCACTGCAACTGTTATGGACGCGTCACTTGTTCATCTCGTCCTTAGAATATCTATATTATATATTATCTTCTGTATCTTTCCATCACGTTAGATGGAGATCAAAGGCGCACTTATTTTTTTTAAACAAAAAAATTAAAAAGATCTAACGTATAATTTGAAAAAGAATGACTTCGGTCGTCTTTTGATTTTGGCAAATGATTCATAACGTTGTTATTTTTATTTCAACCAATTTTATAAATATAGAAAGATAAGGAATTCCATATTTAAATGTTATTTGAACATCAAGTAAACATAGAATTATCCTCTTATAAAAAGTACTCAGTGTGAACTATTTATTAATTTTTGTACCGCATATAAATAAATAAATAAATAATAAATGAATAACGCACACACTCAACATAGCCCCGCACTAGGGAAACCCTGTGTCGCGGGTGCCATGGACACACACATAAACAACCACAAATTACATCCAAACTCACGAGAGAAATAATTGTAGGTCATACAGCTATTTCTCCCGACCCGGGAATCGAACCTGGGACCTCTGGGTCCGGCAGTCCGGCATGGTAACCGTTCGGCCACGGAGGCAGTTAATATAATAAATATAATGCCATAATATAGTAAATATAATGCCATAGCTATCAAAATATGAAATATTAGACACATAAGACAATAAAGTCATGAAAAATTAGAATAAACTGGACTCTTTTGGCATAAATTGAATAGTGCAGTTTCTACATCGTGTCTACTGAATTTAATTGATTTTAATGTCCAAAATAGGATCAGATTTCATTTTTGTATGGACCACGCTTAAGCGATTAAAATTGCAGAATAATTTACCGGTTCTGGAACCAAACTTGCACGACCCGCATGTCGAGTCCAGTGTCTTGCGCGAGCTGCTCCCGCACGTGCCGCGCAGGTTTGGGGCTGCTGCTATAGGCGTTCTTCAGGGTCTCTAGCTGTTTAGCTGTGATAGTTGTCCTCGGCCGCTTGCTCGCTGCATCGCCGTCCAGTGAACTCTCACCTTTGTTGGAAGATTTAGGGATCGTTCATATTAGATGCTTGTAAAAGCCCTACATCGCTTTTACAAGCGGTTCTTTAGCGCGTCTGTGGCGTCACTTTAAATTTTCTAACAATTTCTAAAAGCGCAATAGCAGCGCTACAGTCGCGCTACTATGGCGCTTCAATTGCAATCTAGTACAGTGTACTTGTTTATTTTTTCTTGATATCTAGAAACGAGGATGAAATTTAATTATATAGATGATATTAAACTGTTCCTTGCAGTCTAGAACAGGAGTTTTGCCAATTATTCTAGAAGACCGGAAACGAAAAAGCGTGTGAAGATATGTGTATAAATATTATAATTTTTTATATTTTTTTAACCTCATTTTTTATAACTTTGTAATATTCATGGTGATTATTTTGAGTAAGTAAAGGTATCGAACGAATTCTAATCTTTCTTGCAATATTGGTTATTTTTATTGTTTTTCATTTTAACAAAACAAGTAAAAGTAATGTTCATTCACTAGTATCCATCGGACAACTGAGTCCAGTGGTCCTTCTCAGACGCACCCTACAAGCGAATAATTTGAATAGACCCTTCTTAGAGCATTCAACCAATGCTCCAAAGCCCTAAACGATAATTCCACTAAAATCAAAATATTTTCGTAGCTTTTTCATAAATGGCGCTACGGCTATAAAGTCGTTGGAAAACCAAATACAAAGATACGACAAAACAAGCACATAGAAAAATTCGTGAGGTCCGCTGGTTCGTTCCGTGGCTTAGTTGACATAGCGTCTGCCACGGTTTGCTAGAAGACGTCGGTTCAAATCCGTCCGGATCGAAGGGATTTTTCCCAAGTCTTCGATCTCTGTGTTAATAATTATAACATATTATTTGTTTTTGTCAGTAAATTAATTTTATTTCGATTTTGTTTTTCTTAAACATTTTATTAACATATTATTTAGATAACTTCACACTCTATGGACATTCGAGATTTTTTGCAGTAGTTATAAAATAAAGTGATCGCTATCGTTTGGCGCAATAAAAGATACGAATTTTAGAAACTGAAAATATGAACACTGTAACAATTGTAAACACTAATTTAGACCTAAGAGCGCCTTCCAATTAGACGCTTTTAGAAGCGCTGCAGCCGCGCCACTACTAATTTTCATACGATATGTGAAAGCGCAATTGCAAAGCCAGAGTCGTGACACGCGCGCACACTTTTGCAGTCAAAGTTCGCACACCACATGAAACCGAATACATGTACATGCAGCAATATTGAATAAATAAATGATTGTTGTCGTAACTCAAATTTATGAAATTCAGAAGACACGATTTGAAAGTTAAAAAAATTACTGCATGAAACCAATAAATTTATATTCTCGTTTATAAATGGATAACAAATGTTTATAGATGGAAATTAAACATAATAGGTACATGAATAAAAATAATCACATTATTCCCAATAATAAGATGTTGTTTGTTTATTTTAAATCGTGTGCTTTCTCAATTCCACAATGTTGAGTTCCGACAGTATTTGGATTCCAGGTGCGAGTTAAAACTAAAAATTACTCAAGCGCCTTTACGCGCGGCTGCCGCGCAACTGCAACGCTTCTACAAATATCTAATTTGAATGAACTCTAATAAATTGGCCATCGTGGTAATAAACACTGCTCTTACCTTTCGCTCTTGCAGCCTCATAATCGGGTTTACAGACAAGTTTTCCGTCTTCCATTAGATAAAACTCGTCGCCGGTGTTAAGTGTCCTTGCACAGGCGGCGCACGCGAAGCAGCGCATGTGGTAGACGTGCGACTGCGCCCGCCGTACCACCTGTGTCGGCGGGATTCCCTGCCCGCACCCCGCACACTTGGTGCCAAACCGCCTAGGACAACAGCCGGAATCACAACAACATTATCTACTTGATTTAGTATTTGCAATGGTTAAAGAAAAGAAATTATATGGGAGCTTAGAATATAAAATGTTGGGGTAGTAAAAGTTCCGAAAACTAAGTTAAAAATGAGCTTATTCAAATTATGAATGTTACTGCGCTATTTACTAAGCTACCGAAAATTTCCATGGAAATAAAAATTCGAAGAGAACCAACGAAATATTTAAATTTTCGAAAAAATTTGCCGGCGTATACTAACTTTACTAGCAGTAGAGCTCCTTGTGAAAGAGTTCGTCCAGGATAGTACTGACACCTAATGTTGACATTACTGTGTTCCGGTTTTGAAGGGTAAAGGTGCTGCTGAAATTGCAGGCACATGGGACTTGTTAACTTATGTCTCAGGGTGATGGGCGCAGTGGCAGTGCCCCTCAGATCTTTGCGATTTAAACCTCTGTGTGGCACAGCAGCTGTTATGTACAGGCGTGTAGCTTACTATCAGGCGTACGACTTGTTCGACCCGTCACTTGATATTATAAAAAAAAGAACTACCAACTTAATTTACATTTATTGAGAAGTACTTAACTCCACTACAGTATTGTTATGATTGTTAATAAAAAAATCGAACATTTTCGTCGACCCGGTGGGCATTCGTCGCCGTTAATGATATCTAGTCACTAGATGCCGACGCCGACGAATGCCTAAAATCAGCACAAAATCTATACCAAAAACACATAGGAGAATTTCGACGACTCGGTAACTGTACCCGTGGCTTAGGTGGTCAGAGCAATGGGCTCAAGACCCACCGTGTCGACGAAATTTTTTCTGTTGTTCGATGTTTGTATTCATAATCTTAACAAAACTTAAATTATAGTTTACCAAAACAACCTTACACATTTTATAAACTTTGGTGCTTGTAAAACTATTCCGTCATATGGAAATACTATATGAGTCACAACATGGGACATACAACGTTAAGTTAGTAATTCTTTTGGAAGTTTAGTATATTATTCGGAAATACATTGTTTTTCGTAGAATAGTGATTTGAACAGGTTCTTGATTGTTTGTTAAATATGTTAATTTTGTCGATATATTCTGTGTTTATTTCTCAGTAACTCATTTTAACGCAGCTTAGTTAGTATTACTATTAATCATAGTTCGCTGCAATTTCATTTGTTTTTCGGAACCTTCATTATTTCCCAAAATGTCGTAGCGTCAATGCAAAAAAAATTGTATACTACATAGCAACTGAATTATTAATTCTTCAGCAACTATCAAGTAGAACATCTAACACCACACTCACTCAACTCAGGCCACACTTGGCCTGAGTTCTTTACTTTTTGCTATAAAAGCTATTCTTATAACGCAATACTCTCAAGTAAAAACAAGTAAGACTTACTTGAAGAAGTCGTCAGTGCAGTACAGCTGGTTGTTCCTAGCGAAGCATTTGCCGGAAAGCATGGCGCGGCACTCTACACACCGAAGACATCCCGCGTGCCAAGTCCGGTCGGACACCTTCAGTACGTACCGGTCCACTATCATCTCGTGACACCCGCCACATTTAGGGATACTGGCTGCAACAAACATAATATATGAGCGATAAGGCTTTATCCTTGGTCTGTAATATCGTTTCCACTTCAGTAAAATTGTAAACGTTCGATTCACTGAAGCTAAACTAACCGACTTGAAAAAAAGGAGGAGGTTCTCAATTAGTATAGAGAAAAGTTTAAGGAGACTGGTATCATGACCGTGGCATCACAGTAAATTTACTGAAATATTTTGTATGCCCGTAAAATATACATAATTTCGTTAAGAAAGAAGATATTCATAACATTAACCTTAGAACTAAGTCTAAACTCATGGTACCACGATTTCGTTTCACTAAGGTAAACTTTTTTTTTTATGGGGAACTGTATACGTTTTTACAATAAGGTTTCAGAGCATATATTATGATTACCATTTCCTAAGTTTAAAACTTACGTTAAAACTATTTTAATTGAAAAGTCATATTACAAAATTGTAGTCTACGTTTTAGATAAAGATGTATGGAAAGACAACGTGGATAAAAATTTGTAAACAGATTTTGATAATTCTTTTTTTGTTGGTAAGAGGGTACCTCAATAGTGGTTTCATTTAAATTTGAAGAAAATATTCTCCCTCTAAGGGTGGCAAACTATGGAATGAATCGATGTAACCGATGTCAATAAAACTTGACAAATACATTCCACGAACTTTTGAGGTCGTTTTTTTAGTACCCGATACTGAGATTATTTCAAATGCCTAAGTAGTCAGTGCCTTAATGAAAAAAGTACTTATACTCGTAACGTGTGAACCTCATAATAGCGCTCCCGGGGCGTACTCGCAAGCGTCCGACTCGATTCACGACGACCATCCATTCCCGACAGACATGACTAATCAACTAGTCTTTTTGAATGTAGATGGCGAAAGTATGACATTTTGCATGACCAAATATGGTAATAATTAAATGATTACCGGTAACTTCCGTCTCAAGCACGATTACCGAGTACCGACCCTCACCCCCGCGCGTACCAATTACAAATCGAGAGACCGCCATTGACGTTTGTTCGAATTAGATAGTTTTCATGATTGCTCGTCTTTACGCCTGTATTTTTTTACGTATTTACTTACGTCCGTAGTTTCTGTGAATATATCTGTGCCCCATTTTAAACAATAAATAACCATAGTACTCTACCGCCTGATTTATTTTATTTAGCCTGTTCACTTTATTTTTTTCTACTTACAATAATGTAAGTTACCAAGGGATATAGCGTGTGCGTTGTAATGTAACACCCCTGTTAAACTGAACACAACGTACATTACTGAAAGTAGTAAAAACTCTCAAATAAAACCGAGTACCTACATCGGGAGTAAAATTTGTTTTTACTCCCGATATAAAAACAAAGAGAATAATATATAACGTGTTTTAAGTTGAAGTTTGGTAGTAACAAAGCTGAAAGGCGCAGACCGTAGCTGCACAGCTCAAATTTTATTCGACCTGCTGTGTTGAAATAACATTTTGCCACTACCGCAAAGTTTTCTTTCAAAATGTGTTTTGAGTGCCATATCGTATGATAAGTGAATGAACCGCAGTCTAAAGCAAAAATATTTAACATTTTGTGAGAAAACTTATTGTAGGTACTTTTTTTTTTATATCCCTCTTTCCACCCCCCGATATTTAATATTCGGGGTCCTTGAATATATGTGTTTTCTATGTATGTTTCTTAGTTTTTTTTTATTATTGATCTTCTTTCTTTATTCACTATACGTATATATATTTATTTGCATGAATATGGTTTTTATTACCTAACCAGCATTTTAATAAAATTATATATTAGTTTAGCAAAATTATATATAACCAGCATTTGCATTTTGTAAAAATAAAAATTGTCAGCATTAAAAATTTTAAAATTGAAATAATATAAAATACATGTTTTTAATTATTGTAAATTGTATAAAGTCATTTGTAAAATTGTTAAAATAATAATAGTGTCATAAAATTGTAAAAAATAATAAAATAGTGTAAATCATTGTAAAAAATCAAATAAAATGTTGCGTCAGAATTTAAGTAATAATTTCGCCCACGTCGTCTCCTCCGCACTGCGGAGGCTTCATTTGCGCTACTGCTTTCATAATCGCCACACAGACGTCGGCAAATTTCATTTCTATCCTGAACGCTCCCCTGCCAGGAGGGCGCTTCATATCGAGGTCAAGAGTTTCCCGTCGACTTCGAATTCGAGCTTCAACCTGCACCGAATACGGGGCATTCGTTCAGTACATGTTTGAGCGTCTGGGGAGCATATGCATCTAGGGTCATCGCAGGATCTGATCCCATTGCAGGTACATTGAAAAAATAACGATAATCTAAAGTTCGTTTTTTTAAGATTAGTAGTACTTACTAGTAATTTTTTTAGTCGGGACAGGCTAAAGCGTCTATTTGACTATACCGCCAGATCTTACATTGTAACTTTTCTTCAATAGTTAAATTTTGAAAAAAAAATTGCGCGGGAAATAGTTTTAAATATATTTTTGCGGTGGCCATTTTGAAACGTGTTTTTACATTAGTTATAAGAAAATTTTAGGTATTTTATTAAGCATCCATTTCTTCGGTTAAATTTGAAAACTTCGTAACTCCGTTTCGGACGAAATACCTTTTTTACTCTTGTCCCTTACAATCATAGATTGTCATATAATCATATCTTGTAATATTGTTTTTTGTGCCTACTCAAAACTTCACGTTAATTGAAGTTTACGAATTTAGCCGATAATTTATTGTAGTGATTTTATAAGCAAAACAATTTAATAAATACCGTAAAAAATCGCTCAAACATATATACTTCATTCATGTTATTTATAAGAAACTTTAAATATCAAATTTCTATTTTTTAGACAATTTATATATTTAAAAAGATTGCAATAGAAAAAACTTAAAAAAGCAGAGATTCGAAATTTATTTATTGAGTATTGGTTATGGAGCCATCAGCTTAAAAAGGTAACAAATAAATAATAAAGAAACTCAAAACGTAAGTAATATAATTAAATTAAAAAATTATTCGTGTAAAAATGGCAACTACAAATAGCCGTCATTTTTTCTGGAGATTCTGAAGATTAAACGGATGTTTTTAAATAAAAATAATAATGCATTCATGATATTTTTTATGACTATCCATAAGTTTTACATCAATCGCTAAACCATATTATTTTTCTTATTAGGTATAGTTTTTGCTATGAGATAAGTATGATTTGATTTGAACGAATGGTGGTCTTCTCACGATATTTTCTTTTACTGTAATTTATTGTTGAAAAAAAGGTTTACGATCACTGCCTTTATGTTTACGTATTATCTACATAAGTGTAGAAAAACAAACTGGGAGTGCCCACTTTTTCTAAGTGATTAGGACTCTTGTTGTAAGGCGGAAAAGTCATATAGAGCCTATGTGATGTAGGGTAAATGTTATTTATACTTTTTTAAATCTATTTTAACAAAATATGATTCTCTATTTTTGAATATGTTGATTTATAAATGAGTTAGTGAATAAACTCCTATTTATTTATTTAATTTATGTGGTTACGTTTACGATTTACTCAAAAACCCACTAGGTAAACTACTAAAAACTACTAAACTGGTATCATTGACTTACAATGGTATATATATTTCAGAAAGGTTTTAATGAATAACGCATTGAGAGTTTGAGACATAGCGTTTTTGTAAACAGTTGTGCAGTTGTGAACAGAAAAAAAACTTTTTTTTTTTCTTTTTGTTTCGTGGCCTCTCTGTTGCTGGTATAGTTTGTAATCATCTGCTATAAAAGAATCTGTAATTTTAAGGTTAGTTTTGACTACCTAATTTCGGTGTCAATTTTTATTATTCAAGTAATCGAGTATATTATAGTGAAATATTAAATAATATTTCAGGCTATTGTACTAAATAATACTATTATAGAATATGTAAATAATAAAAATTGTCACCGAAATTAGGTAATGAAAAGTAGCATGAAAATTACCAAATCGCTTATTCTTGATCCCTTTTATGTACGACATAACAATACATTTGTCACCGCAATGATCTTTATGTACATTCGTAGAAAACGTCACTGTGAATGATACAACTCTATTTAACAAATGATACTTACTTATCTATTAGATTCCGTTTTGAAATGCCAGGTAGGAACTGGCTATAAAATGTAATGCGTTTAAAAATTTTTTGGTAAAAGGTATTAAGAACACAACATAAATAAAAATTAAATTCTCTCATAAAGTTGTTGGTTTTAACGATAACGAAATTTATATTTTGATTAAAAATATACCTGAAAAAGTTTAATTATTTGTAAACAGTATAATTTTTTGCTACCGAGCGACAGCTTCTGGTGGTAAGCGACGCCTGTCCATAGCAGTTGCTGTAGCACTCAGAACTTCAAATCGCAAAGTCTGAGGGGCACTGCCAATAGGTGTGTCGCCTTGAGGAATAAGTTGACAAATCCCGTGTGTCTGTAATTTCACCAGCTTCCTTTCCCTTCAAAACCGGAACGCAGTAGGTAATGCTGGTCTCAAACTAAGAAAATCCATGTACTGTATGGATCAGAGCAACGGAATTCCCTCCGGATACTACTTAGAAAGAACACTCACACCAAAACTAAATTAGAAAACTTCATTTTCCAAACTTTTCCACCGGGGTCACATTTGAGCCGGGCATGATATAAAGCAGTTTTTTTTAGGTTAGCAATATTTGACAAAATCTCCTGTAAATCTTTATATTTACAAAAATTTTTATGTTTTAGTACCTATTAGCGAAACCTAGTGCTGATCTTTAGGTTGTAAAGTGTTCTGCCTAAATGAAGACATTATGAAGTCAGATGTGACAAAGGTATACTTATCCCTGGACGAACTAGGAGCTCTACTACTACTAGATTAGGATCTTTAAAATATTTGAAAGTTGTACTTTTGTAGACTAACCCTCTTCGTAACAATTTGCTGTGGTATACACATATTGCACAGTATTATATTTTAAACTTTCGCAAAGGTAATTGATCAAATCAACATATTGTATGTAAGAATA